GTCCACGAGTTCCTCGTCCTCCTCTGTATCTTCCACGATAACCACCACGATTTCCTCGTCCTCGTGTGTAGCTGCTGCTAGCTTCCCCTTCGTTGACATTCATCTTGCTTTGTAGAGCTTGCTCCAGATTTTCTGAATCTTCATTTTGTTTTATTTTCTTCTCATGGGCTTGAAGTGAACCCACAAGCTCATCAATCGAAATTTGTGATAAATCTTTTGATTCTTCGATTGCCACCACCACGTAATCGAATTTTCTTGTCAATGACTGCAAAATTTTTTCCATCACTCTAACATCATCGAGTGATTCACCATTTCTTTTCATTTCATTTACGACCGCTTTCACACGGCTAATATAATCATCGATGGTTTTTGTATTTTTCATTTTTAACATCTCAAACTCAGCTCGGAGAGTTTGTAAGCGTACCTTTTTTGCTTTTTCGACACCTTGTAGAGATTTTTGCAAACTCTCCCACGCTTGTTTTACGATCTTCGCATCAGAAATTTTTTCAAAGGTAGATTCGTCTACTCCTTGAAAAATAAAGAACAACGCTCTTTCATCTTTTTTCCGGGATTCCTTTAAAACCTTCTTTTCTTAATTTGCCAGGACTGCTTCTGCTGCTGCATTTTCAGGCTCAGTGTAACCATCCTCGATGATATCCCAACAATCTTGGGAGCCTAGTAACGCCTTCATTTGAATGCTCCAATTGCCGTAATTCATCTTTGTCAATCTTGGAATTTGAGGTTGAATCATGTTGGACATCTTCTCCACCACGTTGAACTCGAACCAAGCTCTGAGGCCACTTGTTGGAAGCGTAGATAGACTCATGGTAATTTATAACTCGAACTTTTTATTGATACGAAACAAAATATTTTATAACAACACTCTCAATATTACAATACTGCAATACTAACTATTGCTATTTTACAAACTCACAAAATATAGCTTTGCTAAACTTTCTCACAATTCTCTCTAATTTTTCTTTCTCTTACTCGTTATTCTTTTTCTCACTACTCACACACAACTTGGACCTAAAACACACATATTTATAGGAGACTTAAACCGTCAAAGACTTGCTCGGGATGATTCTCAATTCCTCTTGCCGCCTTATGTTTTGTTGTTATCTTATATTATAATATTAATAATTCATGAAGTTTCTCCACGTTGAAATGCTTCATTAGCATGCTGCCTAAACTTTCAAAATATCTTGCTCTTGTTGGTTTCTCCAAATTGGTCCACGTTTCAAGATTGGATAAGATTTCACATCTTTATGTTGCCACATTTGTTTTCTTTAATAATTGAGTTTGTCTTTAACAGAGTGCAGCTTTCACAAGTCACCTAGCAATGCCCTGCATTAAAAGGGGACATAAATTAAGAGTCAAAACATGCTCAACCAGTTTTAGCATTTCCTTGCTATCTGGAAACTTGCATATCGTGGGCTACTCTGTACAAGTTCATCAGCCTCCTGGTTGCTAAGGTGCTCCCACAGACCGTAAGAAGCAAATATAAGAAACTGATCATCAGGGTGCAGTTTGTGTATTAACAGCGATGGCTCGGCAGTAAGGACCGGCTTTTGCAATTGGTTCAGACGGTCTAAACTTGGGCAGGAGAGGCTCTTTGTTGAACTCTACTTTCTTTAAATATGCATCACCAATGGATCTTGAGATTTACATAAGAACTCACAACTTAATTTCACTTCCAGTTTTCTCGAACCTTCTAATGAAAAAATAAGAACAGAATATAAACCTGTATCAAGCCCTTGACCCGCCAAACTTTGTGTTTCATCATAATAATTTGTGGATCATTGGGATGCAATGAGCGAAGCTCTTCTCTTATACCATCTACGCTAGCATTATGTATCATGGATAATTGCAGGGCTTTAACTCCCTTTGTTCCTCTTCCTGATCTGCCTAGAACTACTCTCGAATCTCCAGCATTAGCGATATATAGCAGTCCATTGCAGATTACTCCGGTCAAACAGCATGATCCCGCCGATGCCATATGCGGCTTACCGTGCCACTGTTTCCTCACAACACAAGGGATAGAAAATTCTCTTCTTTTGCCAAGAAAGCTTTTCTAAGAACATTTACTGACATTTCTTGATGCTCAGGTGCAATTGCTGCACATCAAAGGGATGGAAAATAAGCATTCGGCAATTACAGAATATTAGCAAAGTTTAAGTGGAAACGTACACTTAAGATTGTTTAAAAGGTTGTCATTGATGTAGCGGGAAGTCTCACTTCCGCCATGTCCGTCATAGACACCGATGAATGTCCCGTAAGGACCGGATATACTCGAACTCAACTGCCCTGATTCGAGTTGGCTTTGATCCTCCAACAAACTATTGGCTTGAATCACTGCCATGGAGAACTCTCCATAAGCATGTTGTCCCAAATCTTTATACCACAATAAACCATCAACACGACCGCAAGAATCAACTTCAGCCGATGGATTCCAACAGGATTTAACCATTTTCAATCAATATTTCAAGTGAAGCAAGAAGACCAAGAATCAATCTGGGGTCAAGCTTTTGTCTTTGTTCTACAATATACTAGAATCCTACTAGGTGCAACTATATAACCAAAGAATTAGACAGTAGACACCATTAATCTGAGTGTGTGACAAATCTCAGACAAGGGCCAAAGTTGGGGTATGGGCTAACTCAACTGCCAAGCTTGTATTTGAGGCAAGAAAGCAATAGTTTTAAGTGAATTCAGAGAATATGGAGGTGCGCTGGTTGCTGTATGCCTTGAAAATAGGGTTTCAGCAACCGACGTAGCTGGAAAAGCACCTTGGGATTTGGTGGAGACAGAGTTTGGTTTTGAGAACAAAGTGATGAAAGAAGCTGCAACGGATAGGAGGGGGAAAAAACACTTGGAGTTTAGTTGTCAGAAGATCTTGGGTTTTGTTGTCAGAAGAGATCCAAGATGAGAAATAAAAGAGATTCTAAATCACTGACGCGTGACATTGTTTTGTTCTTGTTCCCTTGCCTGTTTTCTAGTCTTCTGTGTATTTCTATGTTCTATGCTTGTCCTCGAGCTATTTTATCATTGCATGGCTGAGACTTTTAGTTTTCCCACCTTTATTTACTTGCAATAAACCAACTGTGTTCCATGCTTGATATCAAGTAATAACACATTTTTCATGACTGTTATTCTTTCTTCTTATCTCACTTTTTCGGGTTCGTAACAACCACTTAAATTTTCAAGATTGGAACTCGAATGAGCAAAATAAACCTTACCAATTTATCCGACACATGCTAATCTTTACTCGTGCAATTTCTCCACCAAAATTTCATTTGCAGCAAACCTGTTAAGGAATATCTATAAAGAAGAAAAGAGTATAATTCCTTTTCAATTAGCAAAGTGTTCCATTAACGTCTATGTCAGTTTTAATCCTCAAGATTTGTGGTTCAAACAATATATTATTCTGTTTTATCACTTTGTTTTTTTATGAAACTGAAGAATTGATTAAGGAGAACAGTGTTTTTTGAGTTGAAAGTGATGGGAAAAGGGGTCCATGAGACTGGTTTTTGATTTACTGGTTTTGAATGGCTAAAAAAATTATTCCCTTCTACAACGCCCACACACACTCTATGTAGACGTAGCTGCTAAAATACGGATATTCCTTAAAAAACAACATTTCATTTTATCACTGAGATTACTACTTAGTGTAGGAGTAATATGGTTGCCGATGGAATGATAAAATTGGCGTCCCCCAACACTTTCAGACACTTGTATACGGTGATGCTCCAATAGAGATTCAGTGGTCAGTTGTTCAACGTGTTTTTGACCATCCTTATTGTAAATTGTTAAGCTGTTCATTACTAATTTCATGACCTAGGCCTCCTTTCAATTAAAGAAATATAATTCTAATTAGTACTCTAATAATTTTTTTTTCTTACGATTACGCTGTAATATTCAATCGCAAGTTATAATAGTGGTATAGATTTGCCATTTCAATTTATGTGAAAGTTTCGGTAGTTCAAAAAGGAAGGGGCTAAAAGTAGGGGTATAAACTAACATAGCGTTGGGTGAACTGTTCGTGGATCGTTTGTTAAGTTAAACAAATGAGTATGAAATAACAATTTTGTTAATTTAATGAATGAACGAACACGAATAGAAGTGTGTTCGGTTCGTTTATGTTCATGAACAAATTCGTTTATGAACTCGCCTATAAACTAATTTGTTTATATTCATGAACAAACTCATTTATAAACTCGTTTACTTTTTATTTATTTTTTTATATTTTAAATATTGATGAATGTAGGACTAAATTGAACACATGATGAAATTTGGAGCTTAAACTATGAAACTTAAGGAGTTGAAATACTAGTACATAATTTTACCATTTTTAGCTTACAACTGAACAAATTTACCGACACTAAATGAGCATGTTCGAAAATATATAAATGAACGTTAAACGGACACTTTTAAAAATAAATGAATAAACACAAACATGATAATCAAAATTTAAACAAACACGAATTAAACATAAATAACTTTAAAAATAAACAAACAAATACAAATACAATTTTATTCATTTAAATTTTGTTCATGCCTTCTTGGATCTTTGGGTTTAACCCGACATGGCATTGATTCGAATGGGCTGTTTTAAGACAAAAATGGTTCAGTCTGTCCGAATTCACCGTAATTCCAACAAAGCTACGAATCAGTTTCAAGATCACAAGAAAATAGGTCCTTGGATTAGATGAAAGGTCCCGACACTCAACAACGCAAAAGCAAGCTTAACCAGCAACATTTAAGCTGTTGCAAAAAGCTTGCAGAGCATTGTTCATTTATTCAGATCTGCACAATGAATGTTGTTAAAAGGCCTCTGCAACTTTTTTAACATAGAAATTCAAGAACTTTGTTAAATTTGGTCGGCTGTCACACCCAAACTCAGATGAGACCCGGATTTGATATTCAAACTCAGTTCTAACCCAAACGATTTGACTAAGGCAAATACAAGTACAACAAGCGACATTATGCCCCACATTTATGTTTCACTGCAATATCTGTCACTCTGTACTTTATTTATCTAAATGCCACAATCATCACTGTTTACTTCGCATGAATTCAAGATGGCCCTACTCTAATCATTTGCCTTCTTTCCATTGAGCTCTGAATTCTTTCCCTGGCATGCCTTAGAGTTTCAAGAACTTCACCTATACTTCTGTTGACTATCTTTATCTCAGGGGTCACCTTGGTTTCAGGTAGGAAGAATGGAACCAATGCCAATGAGTCATCAACAGAATCATCATCCTCGTAATTCTCATTTCTTCCATTATCAATCTCCAGTCTTGAGGAAGAACTGAAAATGAATGATATAAAGTGATCAAATCAAATATATACTTGAGCAAAGCCAGTTGGATAAATGCGGAGAAAATACACATACCTTGTATCATCAACCTTTGGAACTTCATGGCCTGAACTTGATTCAACACTGGACTTCTCATGTGAAAAATCGTTTGTATTAGTTATAGTGGTGTCTGATGCATTTTCAGACATGGAAGCTGTTCTGTCTGGGATTTTGTACATGAACTGCTTGTGGATGAAACACAGGAAACTTCATGGCGTTCTGATTTGCGGGATTCAAGCTTCTTCCTCAACAATTTGAGCCTTTTCTCAGCTTTGTTCCTTAGTTTGGTCTCTTCTTTGAGTTCTTTCTCCAGCTCCATTAGCTGAAGTTGGAGAAGAGCAAATTAGAACAAACAAATAAAAAAATTCAGATCTTTTTCTTTATCAGATTGAAACAAAGGCTACAACAATGTAACCTTATTTCCTATAAGTTGAGCATCTTGTTTTGCAGTCTTTGAAGCTTGTCTCTCCGCAAGAAGCCTTCCCCTCAAGAACTCTACAGGCCTCAATCCTTCATCAGTTTCCATCTTTTCATTGAAAAGAGAAAACAAAAATAACCCAAATTATTATGAAGCAGCAACACTCACAAGCTTTCATTTACTGTTTTCCTTGAAACTCACTCACCATCCACTTTGTACTAAAATGGCAGCACAGTAAGCTATGGCCTGTAATTAATGGCGGATTCTTCCACATCAAAAAGACACTCGGAGTGCTAACAATGTTGGAAATCTAAGGTGATGGCTTCGCCCTATCTATCTGCTCCAGGTGGCTTTTATGTCACATCCTTAAAAAACACAACATTTGGCTACTGTTTTTCTCCTCGCTCTAGCTTTTCACAGCAACAATCTTTATGACACTTCTTTTATCATTCTGCAAATTGGGGTTAAACACAAAAAGGGTTTTTTGAGAAGGAGGGCAAAACAATCAGAGGTTAATCCTTCTAGTTGCTGAGATTTTGACATGTATCAGTCAAAGGGAACTCTGTTTGACATCCGCTAATCTTATGCAAAGTTTACATTTCTTTTTCTTTTTTCCTTTTCCACACAAAAAACCATCATGATCACAAAACCCACCCGACCCAATATATGTATCTGATGGACTTTAGTCCAGGATAACGACATAAGTTTTCTAGTGCTTATAGTGTGTATATATATATTTGACCCAAAAAAATTAGTCAAAAATACCTGATCGGTCGATGAAAGATTTAGGGTAAGCAACGAAGATCCAAAAAAATTATTTATGTTTTGTTTTAAAAAAATTAGTATTAATATTGTTTGAATATAATTTCTATTACATTTTTGTTTTAAAAAATTTATTTATGTTTTGTCTATTATACGGTACAAATATAGGAGTATAAAATTATTATCTCGACCAGAACATTATAACTCATTGGACCGGCCTGACAAAACCAAATCATGATTTTTGCACATTCATCCTTCCACATAATCCTAAACTGTAATTGCTTATTTTATTCTGTTTTAGCTCTTCATATTTTATTTCTTATACTTCCAAATTGATAAAATTAAACTAATTCAACCCCATCAGTCAGCAGAAATGTCAGTTTCATGTGACATCACAATAACATATGGACATGGCATATATTCTTTTAGCAAATTAGAAACCCATCTTTTAAATTCTCTATTATATATATATATATATATAATATATATATATATATATAGATATATATATATATATATTTATAGAAGGTATAATCACATGACTGCATGATTCTAGGGTATGGGAAAATTGGCTTTAACTTCACTCAAAGAAAATTGATGAGGATGAATAGGCAAATGCTACAGCTTCAAGCAAACTCATTGTCAAGATCTTTCTGGTAAAATAGGCCTTGTGAGATCTTTCTGGTAAAATAGGCCTTGTGAGATCTTTCTTGTTGTGGGTTTCGACAATTAATAAGGGATTGACCTTTGTGAATAAGATCCACACTCTGTATCAGTATTGGTGCAATGCTTTAACCACATGAATTAAGTGAGATTTGTTTATGATTTGCTGCTAATGGTATACATTGATTGAGCATTAATTGCATGGAATTATAATGGAATTGGCTGGCAAATGCCATTGTAGGCATTTTGTCAGTCAGTTTATGTGCATTTCAAGAATCTGTTGACACCCTATTTCTTATCTTATCGTTATTTCTTTCCACTTTGACATGCAATAAAATAAAACGAGATTCGAATTTCATCTAACTATTCGCGTGACATTAGATGATGAAACTTTAAATCAAACTATATCACATCCAATTTACTTTGTATTCTATTGAGAATACAAAATTCTTTTAAGAATTTAAATATTAAATTTAAACTTAGAAAAGGGTTTAGTATTCTATTGATAATTGAAAGTATAAGGACAAAATTGAAAAGAACGCAAAAGTGAAAACTTTGCATGTTTATTATTCCAAAAGGAATCGATAATGGAAATTTATGGAATTCCTAAAGATAGGTGTCATGTTTCGATTATATTAATAGAGAAAATATGATAAACAATATATGGTTTACTTATAAAATATAAAATAAATTGATTATAATAGTAAAGGGTAAAGTATCTATTTGATCACCCACATATTCTCACATTTTTATTTCTGTCCCTCAACTATTTTTTTAAAAAAGAAAATTATATATAATATTTTATTTTATTTTTATACTCCGCCATTAAAAAATTAAAAATGATATTCACGTTATTCAAAATCATACGTTCACTTGACAGTTTGTTATATTTTTTTAGTTGGTTAGGTTTCACAAAATAAATAAAAAATTGAGAGCTAAAATGTGATTGGGGTAATATAATTTGCATGTTGGAATTATGAATCTTCAGCGTGTGAAATTCATGAAGTGAACGATTAGACATACGAAGATTGTTCAGCTTTTAACGAAGCCGACTACTAATTAAAACTTTTATACGTAGAAACGTGAAATCAAAATATAATATTTCATGGGATCTGTTCCTTAATTTTCTTTACAGTTTTACGCTATATTATTTTATGAAGTTTTAAATTATATAAGAATCGAGTTTTCAACCATGAATTCTTATACAGACAGCGATGGAGTTTCAAGAGTTCCCCATGGAAGTTGTCGAAGAAAAAAACGATGTTCATCGGATTCTAGACATTCAAATCCCCACCATTGATCCATTTATATTTTCCTTCAGAAACTTAACCTATGAAGTCAAAGTCGGCAGCAGCAAATCAAGGTTCCCATGTTGTGGGAAGAAGACGAACGTCAAAAGCTTGCTCAATGACATCTCCGGCGGAGCAAAGGAAGGGGAAGTAATGGCTATTCTCGGTCCAAGTGGATCGGGCAAATCGACCCTGATCGACGCTCTAGCCAACAGGATTGATAAGCATAGCCTGAAAGGGTCCATCACTTTGAACCAAGGTTTCAAAAAAGGTCCGCGACCACGATTTCGGCCGCGATATAGCGGTTTCGCCGCCGTCCGAGTTACCCGCGACGGCCGTAATAGCGCCCGCGACGGCTGTAATCACGGTAAATTTGAAATAACCGAAAACGCGACCGCGACCGCGATTTGAAACCTGCTTTGAACGATGAAGCCCTGGAATCAGGCATTTTGAAAGTGATGTCTGCATATGTTATGCAAGATGACATGTTGTTCCCTATGCTGACAGTGGAAGAGACGCTGATGTTCTCATCCGAGTTCCGGCTCCCTCGATCGGTTTCGAAGGAAAAGAACAAAGTGAGGGTTCAAGCTTTGATTGATCAACTAGGGTTGAGAAATGCTGCCAACACTGTGATCGGCGATGAAGGACATAGAGGCATCTCTGGAGGCGAACGTAGGCGTGTTTCGATCGGGATCGACATAATCCATGATCCGATACTATTGTTCCTCGACAAACCTACTTCGGGACTCGACTCAACTAGCGCATATAAAGTCGTCAAGGACTCAAGGTCCTTCAGCGAATAGCACAAAGTGGAAGCATTGTTATAATGTCCATTCATCAACCAAGTTCAAGAAGTGTAAGCTTACTCGATAGCTTGATTCTCCTATCAAATGGGAAAACTTTGTACAGTGGTTCACCAATAAATCTCCATCGTTTCTTTGATGATTTCGGGCATCCAATTCCTGGAAATGCAAATCCATGCGAGTATGCTCTTGATTTAGTCTCTGAACTTGAAGAAACACCCTCAAGAACCCCAGATTTTAGTTTAATTCAACAAGTCATGGAAGGCCTCAGTGAATTCTTCCAATAAACCAAGTCTTTCACTTGAAGATGCAATAAAGATGAGCATTTCTCGAGGAAAACTAGTCATCGGGACCACCGCCACTGTTCCATCATTTTCCAATCCATTTTGGTACGAAGTTCTGATATTATCCAAAAGGTTAACAAAAAAACTCGAGAAGAACGCCGGAGGCAATCGATCTCCGGTTACTCCAAATAATCATCAACGAGATCATCATCGGCACCATGTTTTGGCAGCTCGGCGACTCCCCAAGAGGAGTCGAATAACGATTAGGATGCTTAGCTTTTTCCATAAGCACAATCTGCTTTATATCCACAACCAAAACCCCAAAGTTCATCAAAAAAAGATATATTTTCATTAAAGAAACCGCTTATCATCATACGTTTCGCTCGTTCTTTCTTCTCCATCCCATTGCTGACCATAAACTCCCTCTTGTTTTCACTCATAACGTTTTGGGCCATTGGTCTTTCAGGTTCCATCTCTGAGTTCTTTTTCTTTTTCCTCACAATCTTAGCCACCTTCTAGCAGGAAGTTCATTTGTGGCAGCCATTGCAGGGCTTTTGCCTGATTTCTTCCTCGCCTTTGTTATGTCCATCGCCATTGTTTGCTACTTCCTGTTCTTATGCGGATTCCTCGTTGCGAGAGATCGACTCCCCAGATATTGGCTATGGTTCCATTACATCTCGCTGATGAAATATCCATATGAAGGTCTTTTACGAAATGAATTTGTTCCATTGAAATGCTTTGGTAAGGGTGCGGCAATCTTAGACAGAATGGAAGTTGAGAAACTGCCGACGCCATTGAAGGATGAATTGTTGAGTAGCATGGGGTGTTAACTATAGAAGGAGCTTAGTATGGAAATGCAAGAAAGGAGTGTTTTACTATGAATATTAATCGATGCACCATTTACACAGATTGAGCAGCCATTTAAAGCCACCAATGAGCTACTGCACAGTTGGTTACAACTAACTACAATCACTTAACTGCTTAGCAACTACTTAACCGAATATGGTTTAACATTCACCCTGCTTCTTACAAACTTCCTTCAACTCAAAAACATAAAGTTTACTTCTGAACAAATTAATTGACCAAGGGAAGAGGTTTTGTTAGGATATCTGCTACTTGGCTACTAGTTGGCACATAGTTGATTTGAACTTCTTGTGACGACACCTTTTCTCGCACAAAATGCAAGTCTAGCTCGATGTGCTTGCTTTTTGCATGCAATATGGGGTTTGTAGCCATAGCTACTGCACTTGTATTGTCACACCACACCTTGGGCTCTTAAGGAGTGCAACCTTCATCTCATGCAGCAC